GATGATCATTTCCTTTATTCTCGTGACATTTACAAGGGTGATACTGTTCAGAGCAATTAGAAGCCATTCATTCTTAGGGGTTCAGAGATTTCATTAGAAGCCGGCACCTGGCGAATTCCAGTAGCTACCCTTCCCAATGGAGCCAGCGACTTGGGCCATTCCACCTTCCACTTTTTGGAAAACATTCAATACATTCTTAAGACAGTCATCAATAAAGTTGTTTTTTTTGATATTTTGTCTCCTTTCTGTTGGGTGATTTTGTATCAAGTTCTAACAATTCAATCAACAACATGATCAGTTCACTGTATGCCATGTTGAGCGGACAGAAGAGAAAGACTGGTGACACATCTGCTTCAATTATCGCTGAAGTGTCTTCCATCTACCTATGTCCTCATATAAGCCTACTTTCAAAATTAATGAAATCCCTGGGGGTTAAAGATTAAATCAAACATATAAACCCAAGCAAACATCTGTCAAATTTCTCTGACTACCAGCTGGCATGCTTGGATTCTTGTCAGAAATAGTTAAATATTTGAGGTGCATACTGCCATCACCTGAGTCTGAAGTTGGGTAAGCACCATTCGCCTAGCTTTTGCCAGTAATTCTGGTTTTCCTGTCACCATGATTGTCAAGCCTTGATCTTTTCCTGAACTGATCTCAATTGAAGCTCCAGTCTTTGCCATGATGTCACGGCAGATCTCCCGCTGACGGTCATCTCCAAAAGCATTTTCATTGGGCTGTTTGTAACGCCTTTCCTCCAGAGGAACACGGAAAACCTGCATTAATAAGTGAAAAAAAAACAAACAAAAAAAAAAACTTTGTACAGGATTACGTGGTACGTTCTCTATTATATCAGTGATTCACTTGTTCTTTACAAAAATCCTCTATCCCAGAGGGCTGCTGACCCTGATTGGTAATTCTCCTCTCTCACTGCTCTACATTTCCTTGTAAATTGGTTACAAGAATTTGGTGTTCAATCAAGGTAACAACTTATACCTGATAAGTTTGAGTATTCTCACTGCCTGTTGGCAGGATAATGTGCGGATATTGTAAAGAGAAGTTAAATGCTGATCACCTCTAGGAGTTACAGGGTTAAGAAGAGATAGAACAGATTTTTTTAGACACAAGCTGTAGTGCCAATCTAGTTTGTAAGTTGCATCTTCATTCGTGGCAAAGGAAGCCAGCAAAACCCATTCCTATTGCTGGCTGCAAGATTCACTGTCTACCCATTTTTCTAACTCAAAGCACATTCCACACCCTCTGAAGACAAAGCCAGGTGCTCTGATTTCCGATTACAAAAACATGCTTTGGAGCGAAAAATAACTTTCTCTAACTTCCAGTTAGACTTAAATATCCTATCGATATATCAACACAAGCTCTACAGGAGTACAGAAACTGAAACACAGAGTTTCATAAGAGATCAACACCCATTCTTATACTATGCGAAAGAAAAAAAAATGATTTCTAACAGAAAAAAAAAAGATTCTGTTATCAACTCATAATAGACAAAACAAAAAGTCTTGAGACAATTTCTCTCTCCCCAGAAATCACTTTACTTTTATCCATTTCCAGTTTAGCTTCTGAAAAACATTTAAAAGGAAGTTAAAGAAAAAGTGAAGCATTTTGACACAGATCAACAAGGGTAAATGAAAACACTGAAAATCAACCTTGGCTTGGAGCAATTTTTTACATTAACACTACAAGAAGAAAGGAAACTTGACAAAATCACTTCCAAGGAAACTGGAGCTGGAGAAAAAATTTTACGGTATCATTTATTTAATCACCTGATCAAGTTTTGTTTTCAGAAGGTCTTTCTTATGCTAATATTCCTAATGCTAATTTGCCACCTCTTTCATTTCAAAGGCTATATTTCAAGATCCTGGTGAATCTACCCATAGCTAGTCCTTCCTCTCCGGATGTTGGTGTCTCTCTGGACAACTTTAACAGTTTGGATTATTCCCCTACCACTAGAAATTGGAGAAGTGCAAAAAATACCCCCTGTAATTAGCAACAAGATCATATCAAATTCTTGTTCTTTTTTCTCTTTAAGAGAGCAAGATCAATCATGTTCTTTAACTCATGGATTCAAGGTAACTTTTTTTAAGTGTACAAAATAAAAGGAAAAATAGGTATTCATTATATTTAAACTACCAGTCTTACATGTATCTAGGCCTAATAACAGTACCACATACAAGTTAATGATACTATATCTCATAATACTTCTACAGTAGCTCCACACAAAGCATCATTGGGCATTTTATGAGGGGGATTGCAACAAATTACTATTTTCATGATCCGAAAATTAGTTTTGGTATGACGCGCACTGTTGGCGGGACACGTAGGGAAAAAATTAACTCGATTCAAAAAGTTCAATTCAAAAAAGTTATTATTCATTATGTAAATTGTCTATTTCGTGACAACAATGCCGGTGAAACTCGAAGGAACACGAGATCAGAACTTAAAAGATTGTTTTGTAACTCATGAACACATGTCGGTCAGATCTCACAAAAACCTTGTGATATGTTCTTAAGGAAGACACGATAAAAGTGGAACGCTAAAAATCAAATGTGAAATTGCGTGGATTCAGAAAGTGTGGACGGCAATATAGAGTTTTTTTTCATTATTCGAGAAATGTTTCCGATTATTTTCTGCTCAGTGTTGAACGATTAAACAACTTAACGACCAAGTCCATAATTCCACTGATTTTAATGTTTTGAAATAGTGTCAACATTTTACCAACTATAGAGGCAAGACTTGAAAAAAATATCACTTAAATTATTGATGCTTTGTACGGTTCAAAACTAACTGGCAAAATTCTGTTATGATTGAAACAGAAAAAAACCCTCGATCTGTTAAAAAATAGACAAAGCAAAAACGTCTCAATATAACGCAATGCTCTTAGGCAGTTACTATTTAAGGGAATTATTTAAAGAAACAATTTCTTTATACGTCAACAACGGCCAACAACGATAGTCGTGGGCTCACCGGAAGACCTGTAAACGTGGCCTGGCTTATTTAGCATCGCTGATTGTCTATCAAGACGAAATATTCTTAGCGCTACAACTACTGCCGCAAATATATTTACAATAACAGATACTGTCTACTTCACAGGCGTTCCTTCTCATGACACGAAATAAAAAACCGATCCCGTGGGCGAAATCGACAAAGGCAAGCGGGTCGTGATGTTGTATCAATTTTCAAGCTGAACGTAGCAATCTACGCAAGGAACTCAGATCAACTACATTCATACTAAACTTATAAATATTAGACAAGTTCGGAACGAACAAATTAACTTTCACTTATTTAGGGAGTCGTGTTTAAGTCCTTAATTTCCTTTTTATCGCAATGTGATTTCAGTTATATATACCTGAGTCACAGTGGTCGAGCGAATCGGTCCCGTGCCAGTTCGCCATTTTGATCCAGTGTCGCTTTGCGTTGAATTCTCCACATGAGCACTTGGAAGGGGAGGAAAAGCTTCAGCATAGGTCGGTTGATATCCCTCTAAATCCAGTCCGTCATCTTCTTCGAAATGGTTATTCAAACCTTCCGATGGGATGTAACCACCATCGCTGTACACCGACCCTTGTAAGATTTCTTGAGGGTGGCTTTCGCCAGCAACAGGCGCCCCATTAATCTTGTCCATATTCTTTAAATCTGGTCCGTTAGCCGGTCAGGATCTGCAGTCCCACTAAGGAAAAAAACACAAAACAAACCACAGCTGTTTAAAACAAAACTAGATGAAAAATGACTCGTCTTTTACGGCACAATCACGTCTCGTGCCTAATCGAAGGTTATTCAATCCACGACTGCAAACAATGGGGAATTCCACTGAAATTGGCTTACCTGCTAAGCAATGAGGACTGTTTCCGATAAAATCAGTCCAGGGATTGATTCCTGGGTTAGCAAGCCAGTATGGCAACCAAAGGAAAAGAAGGGAAACTAACTCTTTGGGCCAAATGGCTAGAATAAAGAAGCACTGATCAAGTACTTCGGAGAGAAGTAATTCGCGCACGAGAGCACCACGAAATCGTCAAGTTCCTTTGTCTCACTTCCAAGATAATTACGTCATACACTAACCATCCAATCAGGTTCTAAATTTCATTCCCTCCCAGTTTAGCCGAGGCCGGCGTCTAGAGCGCCTGGTCGAGAACTACATGCAGGCGCAAAATTCTGTCTGTTACTGCGGTAAACTTCAAAAGAAGAATGTTACGCGGAGCTAATTATATCGGAATTTCTCTTCTTCCGCTGATGCTGAAGAGCTACAAAAATCTCTTTGTTTCTTCCAGTGGAATATAAAACTGGAGTTTCTGGGTAAAAGATGGGAAAAGATGCCGCAAACTGAACAAAGATTATTTTCGAGAGGCTTATTTGTTGACCTTTGGATACTTCTACCTAGCCAATGTTTTGACGATCAAAATTAACAGGACATGACCACCCATGTAACAGGGTGGTCACAAACTCCCCGTAATCACCTACAAGAATTTTACGCGTACCTATCCGTTATTACTTACTTATTAAAACAAAAGGATATAAAAATAAAAACGAGATATTGTCACAGAGATTAAAGAAATGCCTTTATTTTGGCTCTCAGCCCAACTTTCAAGATTTTTGTCTTGATGTTTTTAAAAGGGCTAGAAGTTGTGATTTGTGTGACGTAATTAGACACATCAAAGATGAGTATAAAATATCACGATGCATTGTTAAATGACGTGATGATTCAAAATTACATTAGTAAGGAAGAAACAAATAAATCTCTATTGTTGAGCTAACAAGTAATTAAATATCTCTATATAGTAAAATATATTTTAGCTAAATAACTCTCCGCTTTGCATTTAATATAAACTTCTTTGTATACTACAATTAAATATCCGATCATTTGCAGTTAATCTACATCATATGAAAACAAACTCATCGTAAGTGTGACCAGCACTCTTAAATTAAAATTTAAAATATAAATATATATCTTCAAATCAATCCTTGATATCAGAGTCGTTTCAGTGTCAAGTAATCAAACACCTGAGCGAGTTTACCACCTCGGTCATTGAAGGCCTGTCCACAGGATTGCCATTCCATGAAGACGTCATCAGCTCCCTGTACCGGTTGTCTACGTCATTTCCCTCGGGGATCTCCGGACGCAAATTACAGGCAACAACTCGGAAAATCACAATCTGATGATTCTGAAGCTTGTATGGGATTTCACGCGTCCAAAACTGCCACAAGCAGATTCCGAGGGAAAAGACGTCAGCTTTGAAGGTGGGACTTTCTCCCTTCAGGAGTTCGGGGGCCCGGTAAGCAAAAGTTCCGGTGAGATATGATCGTGATGGTGTATTGGGCCGCTCTTGGATGATCTGACAGCAGCCAAAATCGGCCAGTTTACAGCTACCATCCGGCGCTATGAGAACGTTGGCAGGTTTCAGGTCGAGATGTGCGATGTTATTGTCATGCACATATTCCAGGGCAAACGCCACCTCGTATGCAAATGTAACGCGCCGTTTGAAATCGACCTTTTCGTCCGGATCGTCCAGCACATGTTGCAAGTTTCTTGAACTGACGAACTCCATGATGATAAACGGCTGTTCTTCAAGGCTGCTCGCTGCGTTGGTCCCCAAAACTTTCACTATGTTTGGATGTTTCAAGGACAAGACTTCGTGATGCATCTCAGCCTCAAAGCTCTGCATTGCCGCTTTCTTGTTACGAGTGTTTGTGTGAAACTTCTTCATAGCAACTTTGCAGTTCTTGTGCATAGCTTCGAAGACAGAGCCGAACCCACCTGACCCCAAAAGGCGTATAACCTCGACTTCGTTGACATCGATTCGCGATATAAGTTCAACTGAGCTTTGACTTTGCATTCTCATTTTCACTTCTGTTCACTATGGAAAGTATTAAGTTTCCAGGATTCCCGGGTAACGGAATACTTAAGATGTGAAGCATTGCTAATGAGGCATAATCACGCCGCAAGGGAGTTCTCATTATCCTCGGGGCTCGTATTAACAGATTTCTAACCATCCATTGAAAGCTGAGGGTAATTTAACTGTGAAGTGTTGAGTGTTAGTTAGGTGGCTCTTTGTTCTCACATTGTAAATATCGCCAGCTTCCAACAAATGACTGTAATTAAATGATGCATCGAATTTGGGCATATTTCCTCCAAATAAAAGAAAAGTCGAAAGGATACTCCATTCTGAGGAAAACACGCAGAAAGATCAAAATAAAAATATCTCCTGAATATTAAATAAACCAACAGATTCATCATCATGAGTTGCACTCTCACCTATACTGCACACGATTAATTCTTACGAGTGACAACTATCTAATTTCTCCATACAGTATCACCTTTGAATCAAACATTTCGGTCATGAGAATACAGGAAATAATCAATAACTTAAGACATAAGTTCTTGATTGTTTGATAAATTCTCCTTGTTAGCACCACAGGAAATGAGTAAAGAAAAGTGCGGAGAATAGTCAAACTGATGTTAGGGTTAAAGGCAAGAGACTGAAGGCCATCAAATGGTTTTTCAGGGAGGGTGGGGAGGGGGAGAGAAGGGAGCGGAAATTCAGCAAAGTCTGGATAAGATGAGGAAGCAATGAAAACTGGGGGGAGGGGGGGGGGTCCTTTGAAAGTCCCTCGTGAAAATAACGCTTTTCATTATACTTCAAATTTGTTATGGACACTGCAGTTGATAAAAAGTGTCCCCTTTTCGGAGTGGAAATCAAAATGGATGTATCGAGTCTATGTGGTCTACAGTAGTCACATGCAAAAAAAAAAAAATAATAGAAAATAAAAATAGAATTCAAGAGGAACCTTGAAAATGTTTCTTAAAATATTCTTTTTGTGGCAAATTCCCTCTACAATCGTGTGTTATGTGGTGATACACAAGGTAACATATATAAAAGTACAATCAATTCTCCACAAAACTGTAACTTATTTACAAAAATAGTGGCTTTGACCATTTGAGTCAGAATTTCAAGCGATTCTTAATGAATATTTTCAAAAACTATCCTTTTACTAACTCTTATTGACAAATCCATGGGCAATTATCGCAAAAAGGCTAATACTTGCGGTATAAAGGTTGGCCTTCTTATTGCTTTGATGACGGAATGATACCTTTTTGCAGGCCTCCTTTCTAGAGCCCGTAGTCAATTGGCACACCAGTTTCGCTAGCCAACTTAAACTGTACGTTAGCGATCGATACCACAAATCTTGGGTTTTACGAATGACAAGTCTTAATAATTATTCTAGTTCATGCACTTCAAGCACTACGAGGGGTAAGAGAAAGAGCGAGCGAGGGAGAGAATTGACTAATGGGAAATACAAGTCAAACCTTGATAGTGGACTTTGCAATATGCAGATGTTACGAACTGTTTAGTATTCCTTGCACTTTTTCTTCGTATATATATATATATATATATATATAAATAACTTTTCCCAGGAACGCTATAAAAATACGGAGGGACTGTTGTGGACGAGTTCGTGATTATGATTGCACTACTCTCTACCTCTCCGCAGGGTGCGCCCCACCGTCCCCCCCCTCTTCACAGTGTGCACACCCAACATCCCCTCTCACCCACCCCCACCTTATTCAAATGTGACGTTGATAACTTCGTCAAGGCGAGAGAGCTCTTAATCCAAAGTTATCTACTATATTAAGACTACGCTCAGATTAAAACTGAACTAAATTAAACTTTGCTCATCGTTGTCCATTAGATCCAAGTCTACCTGATCGATAATTTACCTGTAACAGGTCAGTTAATTTAATAAAAACAGTCTGAACGATTTCTTAGTAGTCCTCACGCAAACGTCTTTACATTGCATGCTTCTCACACAACCAGAGATGTTCATTGGTTCTGTTGTTGTATGTACAGATCAGGGGTCCTAATCTCCACCAATGAGGTGAGATCTCCAACAGTTTGCACATCTTTCCGCGACTTAGCCCTTCATAACTCTGTACAAATTCCAAGTCTTCCTGCATGAAACCCGTGTAGCTGTTCTTTAGTTCGGGAAATTCCACAAAGTAGTGCTCTAACAAATCCTGGATGTCTGTGACGAGAACGTGATGGAGGTTTGCCTCGCCCATGATGATCTTCACCGGAACACGTCCCGGGTCAGATCCGTCTGGGGCGTCGTCATTTCGAAGCATAAAAGCAAGTTTCAAAAGCTTGCACGCACGTGCTCCAAAAACGTCCAAGAAAGTTCGGATGTCTGGGATTCGGAAGCCTGGTCCTTCCGTAAAATGCCAGTATCCAGGACATTCGCACAAAAAATGCACAGAGTAACCATCTTTGATAGCTGAGTTGACCCGAAGCCGCTTCTTGAACGCCGGGCTTTGAAAGCCTATCGGGAACACCGCTGGGAGTCTTGGACAATAGCAGTCCTCCAGAATCTTGCCTGCCTCGTCGAAAAATACCCCCAGCCTGACCACACCCTTCGCCGGTGGCTCAGAAGGAAGTGAGACCAGGGGAATGTCTCCACGAATGACAGCAGCCTCTGCACCGAGGTTGTGCCCCCACGAACAATAGTTACTACCATCTTTGACAAGTTCGCTTAACAGCGCAGGATTCTTGAACCCGGCGAGTTCACACGCGGTGCAAATGATGTGCCTGATGTAACGTATCCCAGGATACCGGGTATCAACCACTGTTTTGATCGCAGCTCTCACATCAGGTAGTACACAGCAAGGAGATGGACCACGTATAACCACCTTCAGCTTGTGCTCAAATGGTACACCCTCGACGCTGACCCTATGTACGTCTAGGTTTTCTGCTAAAGGATGCGCTGACATCTCTTTACAGTGGAGGGAGCAACCCATGCTGGCCAACGATGTCGTTGCGAACACCATATGGAAGCGAAAGAACATGGGCTCTACGTCAAAGTTGTTAGGCAGTTTCCTCCTGTTAATGGCAATCGTCAGGTCGCTGAAGAAGGTTGGAGGAAGGAAGCTAAAATGGAACTCACAGCTGACCTGTCGTTGGTTATCCGAAGGCTTCGTCGGCCAGGTGTCCTCGTCTGCTCTCCCAATCGGTAACTGGAAGGGAACCACATCTTCAGTTTTCGACAACGGAAAGCACAATCCTACATTTCTGAACAAAGTCAACATGGCAAAGCGTTGTCCTTCAGGAACGTCAGGCCAAGTTTTCGCTAGGTTGTCGATTCGTAATATTCCGTCCAAACCCGAACTCGCGCCCGAAGGTGACCTGACGAGAAGACACATCTGTTTGGACAGCCACAGAGGGTCGATGAAGATCACATCGCCAATATCTGGCATATCTTCGTACCAGAGGATTTCTCCTTGAGAATGAAAGTACGTCATCAGTGCCTTAAGCTTAAAATCTTGCTTCACCCCACAGCCGTTCGCTATTTCACGCAATCTGTCGTAAGTAAGAAGTGGCCAGTTTTTCAATTCACTTTCTGCGTTACACATTTCTAGTATTCTGTCCCGTACGTAGAGGCACTTCTGCGGGATTCGGGAACTGACCTTTGTGTTGAGGAGTATGGACGCGCTAGCACCCACGCCTACTTTGAACTTTTGCATGCTCCGATTTTTAGACCTGAGGAACTGTTTGGGAAACTGGCCTTGGCAGCTGACTTCATAATAACCCACAACATGTGGGATACAGGGCGATGGAACAAGCCCAGGAACATGAGGGACAGCTTGTTCCTGGACATAAAATAAGGAGCCAGTAGACGTGCTCTCGCAAACAAGGGTCGATTCGCAAAGACCGCAGTGAGGCACAGCTTCTCCCTCAAACTGGCGTCTGTGCTCGCTACGATACTTGCTCAACAGATTCTCGATGTCTTGACGAATGCGCACGCGGATATCATCGGTGAGTTTTGGGTCATCGGCATGGGTACCGACAATCATCACGTGAGAGTTTGGAGCTCTCGAAAAGATGATTTGAAGCCACAGGTCGACTCTTCCAAGCTGATAAACTGAACAGGAGGTCTTGGTGACTGTATAAGCGCTCATATCAAAAACGACTTGATAAAGAGTGTTCTCTGACAGGAAAAAGTGATGCGAGCTGAAAAAGGATTCATCTCCTCCTAAATCAAAGACTTTCAATTTGGAATTCATCACATTCACGGAAGATATTTCGAGTCCATCAGTCGTAGTGGTCGGACCGACCCCGCTTATTCGCCAATCTTTGGTATGACTCAAACCCTTTACAAGTGAGGTCTTTCCTACGCCATTTCCTCCGACAACAATCACCTTAATTTGGTTGTTAGACACAGGATCGTCCAAGAATCCACTCAGAAACTCCAAAATGCTTTCAGTTCCTTTGTTCAGGATGTGACTCGGTGGGAATTTGAGGCGATTTCTTGTAATCCCGAGAAATTGCAACCTGTTCAGTAGGCCAATCGATGCAGACAATTTCTCCAGTTTGTTACTGGTCAAGTCCAGACTTTCCAGGGAGCCCAAGCATCCAAGTGTGTCTGGCAAGTTTTCGAGTGCATTCCGATCACAATGTATGTACTTCAACTTCTGCAGCCGAGAAATCGTGTCAGGGAGTTTCCTTATCTTGTTGCCACTTAACCGCAAACGTTGCAGACTTTTGAGCTCGCCCAGTTGTTCAGACAGACGCGATACGCCACATTTGACGACACACAAACTTTTCATGCTCACTACTGAGTATAGGGTCCCTGGTAGCTCTGCAGAGCCGAAATCACAATTTGTTACCGTTAAGGACTCAAAGCAGGACTGGATCTGTGAGAAGTCGAACAAAGATGGACCCTCTGAATTTAAAATAGTCAGTGACCTCACCGGAAGCATGGGGACGGTCTCGTTCACAAAGTTTGCCACTTCCGTTCCGTTCTGACCAATCAAAAGGATCTTTGCGAGTGGGCGACGTGACGCAGTCGTGTAAAAAAACGTCACCTGTCGGGTGAAGTCGGTGATATTGCTGTTCACGACATGTTCCGAATCTTCGTCCTCGTCACTGAACCAGAACTCGCAACGCTTTTCCCAGGGGTCTGGTGGGTTGGGAAACTCACAGCCACTCTCGAGAAGACAACGGATTGCATCTAAGCTGTCTTTTTTCATCGCTACGTCTATCGCAGTGTGTAACACTTTGTCTTTGGCATTCACATCTATAAAGTCAACAAGGGCTTCTAAGGAAGGAACATGATTGCATTTAGCAGCGCGATGGAGCAAGTTCGATCCCTCTTTGTCAAAATCTGGATGAAAAGTAGACAACGTCGTTTTATCCATTACACTGATTTGCACAGCTGCGTTGAAAACCTCTCTGACTTCATTATCTCCTAAAGCAAACTCTAAATACTTTACGGCTCCCACCTGCTGCGCATAACCGGTTCCTGTGACATGAAAAACCGGTTTCTTTGACGCGTCTCTCTCGTCCCAGAGCTCTCTCCATTCCGTCTGAGTACCAACTAAAATGAAAGGAGTTACAGGGCAGTGCAGTCGAATTTCAGGAATCCATTTGTTCAGAGCGTTCTCCCATGAGATGGAGCGAACGACAGAGAAACAAACCAGAAAAACGTCCGTGTCAGAGTACGTGTCCGGTCTAATATTATCATAGGCCTCTTCGCAATGAGCGTCGCGCAGATCTAACAGATAATGCTTGCCTGATACGGTAACCACGCCTGTCCACTGGTCGATGGAGTCCTGGTGAGATTCCACGCTTGATATGCTCCCTTTTTCGGAGCTAAGGTGAATCACTTGAAAATGCGGATGACGTTTGTTAGATTCGTCTTCACCCTCTACACCTATGTCTCCGTTTTCAAATACTTCTTGCGGCACTGTGCCCTTCGAGTGAACACCCTTCCTGCTGACGTCACTGCTAGATCCATCTTCCTCTGTCACGTTAGCTGTTTCCACTTCGGCATTCAACGACGCAGTGTATTGTAAGAACAGCTCTCTCTTGTCCACATCTTCGTCTCCAACTATCACACATTTGACTGTTCTCATTGTCAAGGTCTACTTTCTTTCACACGTCTCATCTTCAGAGCAATAAAAAATTATTAGAAAAACATTATTTGATAAATACACACCTTAACTCCACTTACTCTTCTATGTCTACATTGAAGTATTTTGATCGTGGAGAGTGGGGTGAGGACATGGATTGCCAAGGGGGGGGGGTCAGATTTCCAGGAGCAAGGTAACAGTGTCCAGTATATGTTAAAACTGGCTAGCACTGAAGGTGCACTCTGATTGCCAACTCAAACTCAAAATATCCTTTACTATTAACTTCCACGAAACTCCCACGGGATTTGTGCCCACAAGTATTTTGACCATTGCAGAAATGAGTGAGTTTAAATAATCTTTTAGTGCTATATTATCTCTCTGTTTTAGTGTATACTTAAAACAACAAGCCAACTCCACTTTGGTGAATAGGTGTTAAATATCTCATTGATGCTGTGACTGGGTTCTTCACTATGAACAGGTTGCAAAAAAAAAATAATATACTATTATAAGAGAAAATTGAAATTTATGCAAAATAAAACACTCTCAACAATGTTAAAACTCGTTGCACAAAGAGCTTCCTTGAGGTTGCATGATTGAATATCTATTTCTTTGGGAGGATGAAAATTGAAACAGCACTGCTCTGTCAACAGAAACACCCTAACCTATGCAGACAGAGGTAACTGAGTGGAAACCAGTGACTAATCTTAGCTTGCGATTTATTTCTTTCTTGATTCTTGTAGTTTGCTTTTATTTAAAAAAAAGGGCAACATTTACCACCCTTTTGACTACACCCCTTTGAACACATCCATTTTGACCACACCCCAAACAACCATTTTCTACCAGTACCCCCATGTTGATATTTGACAAATGATAGTTTGAATTTGTGGGACATGTAGTAGTGGATTATTCACTACTGGGTTCGTTGGGTAAAGAATTAGCAATGCACTTTTCACTATTCACGAACCAAAGAACATGTTCAATAAGGTAGAAATCATAAAAAAATGCTGGGGGTTAGCCAGTCTTTCCTCCTGCTTAACCTTAAGTTTTCACTTTGGGACAGTTCTGATTCAAACACCAAACTATCTATGTGCTGAGAAATTCAAAATTTGTCTTTCCATAATGTCCAATTTTCCAAGAGGACTACAGCACTTGTGTCTCAGTGCATTATGGATAAGGCAAATATAATAAAATGAATTTGGTTTGAAACATTATTGAATTGATGTTTCTAGCACATGGAGCATGTGGCCAAAAGCAAACTTGGTAGCAAGCTATTTCAGTCTATACTGTCATTTCCCCTCTACTAACCAGGCGCGTGGGCATCCTCTATGCATATACGCACATGCGTACTTGAAGTGACCAGAAAAATTTGAAAACAATGTTGTGTTTGCGCCAAGTTTGCTCAAAATAAGGGCAAGACGCTTTGTTCTTTGCTTGTATTCACACAACTATTTCAAACAAGAAATAACGAATGCAGTATTTTTCGCTCAGTTTACTTAGGTTTCTAGATCATATGTACTTGTGCCTACTTGAAAAAATGACCACGCTATGCACCTGCGAACTATGGTCATTTCAAGGATCGTGGTTTGGCAAGCACCTGATATCAATATTTTTAGGCCAAGCAGTCTTACACTTAAAATTCATAATGCCAAGCTGAAGAGTGGAGATTATACGCCTGGCCTGATCTTTTTGTTAATTCTCCCCACTAGCTGCAACAAATTTCTTTGTAACTCAGTTGCAAGAATTTGGTGTTAGATCAAGATGGCAACTTTTATCGATATGCTTGATTATTCTCATTACCTGTAGGCTGGGTAACGTATGGATATTATAAGGAAAAGTTACCTGTTAATCACATCAGGAAGTTAAAGGGCTGGGTGAGACACAAAATCCTTTAAAATGTTTCCATGATATAAAAAGTCATAAAAAGTATTACATGATTGTGATAAGAAGCTTTTACATTCTGTATCTATTTACCCATAAGCTTTGAGCGATTTGTGGCCAAAAGGAAATTGAGAACCACTGGTAATCAGATCTAGATCATATGCTTCTTTCATCATAAGCTAATTGACTAAAGATGGTACCCACTTGATGCTCATTGCATTTTTAAAGATTTGTAAAGTTGATTATTCTACAATCAGTATCTGACCAACTATCCACCCACCCCTCCCCTAACCAACACCACTCAACTTATAACAAATTAGGGTTAATGCTGGGTTGAGGGAGAGAGGGTTGGTGCACAGTTGCTCAGATTCTGATACTAATCCAAAATTTCTTAGCATTGGTGCAAATTTATGCAGATTTCACCCTTGCACTCTAATGGGAAATCATCCATTCTGATAGGGCTGGCACTCCACTTTGCCAGTAAAAAGACTTATATAGACCATGATACTATATTTCAAGTTGTAACCAGGTGTGAGGGCCCTTTTTTTTTAGCTTGCTCAAACTGGTTGGTTTGGTTTCCAGAATCTCAGTTAAGTATTTGTTCCTTTGAAGAAATTTAATGTTTTCTTATGGGCAGGTGGGCTGACCCAGATAAAAGGATCAAGCTTTTTGCAACCAAGATCTTCACCCTGGTGTCTCAAGTCTTGGAGTGCAAGCTTATTTTACCTGACAGCAATTGGTGATTAAGTCTCACTCTAGCCTGGCAGAGCTTTCAAGTCTCGTGCAAACAAATTCTTATGCTCTCATGCTGGACCTACTTCTTCTCACCTATTTAAAACTTTTGATTTAAACCATTCATTTTGAGATGGCAAAATGTTACTTTAATAAGTACCAAAAAACTAACTATCTCTCAAGGTATAATTTACTCCTTGTTCCCTTTGTACTCTCTTCAAAACCTTTTCAACAGTGAAAATCGTGTGCAGAGGAACCATTACAGCAGCTGGTGCATTTTATGATTGTTGCACAATGCTCACATGCTGACTGCCCACTGGTAATGTGGACTCCAACCACAAAATGCTTCGAATAAAGGAATACACATCTTAGCCTCAATATCCCCAACCCCTCTCAGAGAGGTGATACCCATGGCATCATACTTAACACCAATGTGGTGTAAAATCTCTCTTTGCCAGCAAATCAACTTAAGAGCTCTGAGTCTGGTCACCAAATAGAGAAAGATTTTGCCTTATCCATCTCAGTAAATCAGCTGACATTTTTACCACATGGACAGAAATTAAGCTGTAATTCCAGCACAGTACAAGCAGAATTAAAGTTGGGCAAGATTTTCAAATAAACCCATACTTTGTTTTCTTTTTCTTTAGAACTGCATGCATGATACGTAAGAAAAAAAATTGACAATCTACAGATTGCCTTTCCCCAAATTCAGCTGCTGGTCTTTGATAGACCCTATTAATTCTCTAGTTCTTAATTGAGCGTCCCTCTCCATTACATCAATAATAATATTTGAAAGTCGATAATTTTGGCCGTGAACTCTTATTTTGCTTAGCTATGCAAGTTGAAAATGAATGGAATTTTTTTAGGATTATTATTACCGGTAGGTAGGTTTTGAATTTTAGTGCAAAGTGAATGCAAAATACGCCACAATACAGAATTATTCACCAAATATGATAGAATGTTTATTCTAGCTGTGTATAATTAATGCAGCAATATCTTTGACCGAGCAAAATAAATATTCGTTAAATGATGCGTTGTTGAAACCAAACGCCCGCAAGCCATCGACAAAACTTGAGGGTAACAAAATCAACAGTGCACTCCAATCGACCAAGCAGGGTAAATAACGTTTGACTTACCGCCCATCAGATATGCATCAACGAAGGAACATCACGAGAAATAATGAACCAGAAAGGAAGTCTTAATACTTTCGAACCACTTGCCCAGATAAATTAAAGTGTAAGACGAGATTCCATAGTAGTTTCAAAGATCTCTTACAGCAGTGAAGAAATGGAGGAGCTATTCCGTTAGAATCTGTGTACGGAACATAAAGAAACTCAATTAACTTGTTTGGGTTTAGTGGAAATTCGACAAATATGGCAATTTCGCTTCCTGTGACAATGCTCGTACCCAGTAATCGGATACCGGAACAACCCGCGGCCGCACCTGATTTTACTGAAAGATTTAACTGTGGACTTCGATTTCTTGTGGAATGTCGGATCATCGGATCGCGAGACTTGCACGAGAACACCCTTCTGATGACATTGGTCATCTCTGGTAAATTATAATCTCTGTTCCGTGGCCAAATTATCTTTCAATAGCCCACCACTGACAACAACACAGTTTCTTTCGAAACTTACCCCTGCAAAGGATGCAATTTTTTCACGAAATTTTAGAAAAAAAGAAACATTCTATTATAGAGACCAGCAAACAAACGTCTCGCTTGTGAACATTCTGGGCTTAAGAAAGTCCTTGCTTGAATTTAAATTTCCGCTTTCGTTTTACATCTTTTTTTGACAAATGCTGCTGATTATCGAAAAAAGATTTACTTCTTTCTTTGTTTTCCTGCGCGACTATATTCTTTTTTTTCTCGTCTTTTTTTTCCAGTCCAAGAGTGCAGTCTCATCAGGGAGAAACTACGGTCTCTCTTCAGAGAGGATCTTATAATTTTGTTTGAATTACACCAATCGAAATTCAAGTTTTCTTGGCAGCGGTGTTCGCGATTCTTTTTTCTCGTTTTTTGTCATCTTCAGTAGGTACAAACTTGCCCATGCCGTCAAAAAACAGGAGCCCGAGTTTTTTTTTTTACTTCAGCAGTAGCTCACACACTTCCTTTCTTATTCCGGGCAACGGTTTACATACATGAAACAATGCTACGTTTAAAGCCCACTTCGTTACCGAATCAAGGCCAATAGTAGTTTAGAGTTCCTGTTTGGGTCATGACAGACAAAACCACCTTAAACTTTCGGTACATGTATAATAACAAAATTTCGCAATTTGATGGTAGTTAGTAGAGATTTGAATTCTGGGTTAGCAGCCTATCGATTTCCCATCACGATGTAATGTCACCAAGATATTTCTTATAAAGTTTGCTTCCACTTTATTTACCAACACATACAGTGAGCGTCACATATACAATTCTCCTAGCTCCTTCCTACAAAACACACATTTTACACAGCTCCACATGAGGTTCAGTTTGTAAAAATGCTCCACTAGGTGGAGAGAAATCGGCTGATATCTTCACTACCAACTAACAATGGTGCAAAAGTTATCCGTTTGCTTCTTCAAAGTTTTCTTCTTTTCTAATTATAAGTCATGTAGCGCGGAGTGGCACTGAACTTGGCGTAAGCCTTGATGACTTTATTCACTGCCTCGAGGAAATCTTTTTCTGTAGCAACCTGTCAACATAAAAAAAAAATGTCAATACAAATCTTGCCTATATCCCTTCATTTTATCTCCTTGACCGAGTCGTTGGAGGTACGATATGCTACGATGAACCCTTTACTCGTAAAATTGACCAACATCTTATTTCTCATACGTATGATGCACGATCCTCGCAGTAGAGAGCGCTATTTAAGCAATAGCGAAAATCAGACCTGAAAAAAATCAGGCCTGTACGGGATTCGAACCACTGACCTCTGCGATACTAGTGCAGCGCTCTACCAATTGAGCTAACAAGCCAACTGGGAGCAGGCCGTTAAGTTGATTCGTAATAAACCCGTGGTGATAAATCAAATACGATGAATATATGAAGTTCATATATCTAATTTCTCGCTACGATGTCCCACCTAAATCAAACATTGAGGTCGGGAGAATAAAGGAAATGACCACCAAAGATAAAAACTCTTTGTCAGCACTTAAGGAAATGCATGGAGAACAGTTTGGAGAGTATGCGTACTGATGTTAGGTTGTAAATGGTTAAGCACTAGCCCGTATTTAGTTAGGCTCGATTACCAGCCGCTGTTCGGGAACCAGAGCCCGCGCTCCTCCCCTAACCAAAACGAAAAAGACCGGACCCGAGAGTGCGGCGGAAATCGAGCCTGGTATTTAGTCGGTTGAAAAAAAACTTAGAATGAAAATAGAGCAAGCTCCTAGAAACGGTGACTACACCTAAAGTTTAGCATTCTTACGTACTTTTCTCCTCGAACGAATCGCAAACATGCCTGCTTCTGTACAAACGCTACGAATTTCAGCACCTGGAAATCAGACAACAAAGTGATCAAAGGCTTAATATATGACTCATCAATAGGTGGAAATCTACCCAGAACTCGTCTTGCAATAAGCTCATAACATTAAAATATTACCAACCTGTGGTGTTGGGGCACAGTCTTGCCAGTAATTCATACCGAATGTCACGCTCCACACTCATAGATCGGGCGTGAATTTTGAATATGTGAGCTCGTCCCTGAAGAAAAAAAAAATTCACGTGGTTTACCAAAAATGCTCCAATTCTATTCCAGACACTCTTATCATAGTCTCAAGGGTTTCTGGGAAAAAAAGCACAGCATGTAAGGAGCAAACAGGATTTGTTTCCAGTCTCCTATAACATAGACACACGTCAGTTTGGCAAAATAAAAATAGAGTGGTATCCTTTACAAGCGATAACTAGTGAGACTTACTTCTTGTGGTTCCTCTTAATGCTCACTTGAATCGCTTGGGATTCTTAAATAAACTCAACGGGTAAAAGGATTGCTCTACTGGTTTAAAAGAACTTATTCTGTCCGTTCTGCTTAAAATATGGGAGAACACATAAAATTAAAATAAGTAAATGTACCTCTAAATCTGGAAGACTAAACTCTATTTTTCTGTCCAGTCTTCCTGGTCTGGTTAGGGCGGGATCGAGTGTGTCAGGTCTGGAAAGAAATAAATAACAGTTTTCAAAACATATTGAATACCTGACTGTAACTAACCAACTCTGGAGCTAAACTCAGAAGGGATTGTAAATATGAGCGAATTCTCATAATTACCGATTTGTTGCCATGAGAACTTTGATGTTTCCTCTGGGATCAAATCCATCCAGCTGGTTTATAAGCTCCAACATTGTTCGCTGAACTTCGTTATCACCACCAGCACCTTCATCAAAACGAGTTCCTTGCAAAAAAGGAATTCAAATTATGCAAAATGATCAAAGCAAGGTGGAAAACAAGGAATAGGTAAAGGACACTGCCAAAAACTGATAACCCTTTTGATACACTAACAACAACAAAAATTTACATGAAAAAAATGCTACCTCTGCAATTTACTGCACAACCTTCAAAATGCTAATTATCAACAAGGACAACAATTCCTTTTTTCTACCAAATAACCTTGAAAATGTTTTTGTTACATCCGAACATTGGTAATTTTGTCATCCAAAAGAGAATCAAAGTACTGATCCACAAACACTCTTGTGAGTCAAATCAGTTAAACATCTGGTAGATAGGGATTTCCTTATTATGTCTTCACTTTAAAAAAAAAAACGTTGTCTTTCTGACATTAAGAGGCAAATATTACTTTACCCTCAAAGTAAATTGTAAGTTAGTTAAAAAGTAATAACAAAAATTACCTCCTATAGCATCAATTTCATCAAAGAAAATAATGCACGCTTTCTTAGTTCTTGCCATTTCAAACAGCTCACGGACCATTCTCGCTCCCTACAGAACATAACAACAACCTTTACGCAAAGATAGGGACAACTACAAATTTAAGAAAACAAGAAAATGTGTCCAAAAGCTTGCATCCTCAAAAGATTTATTGAGATAATCACAAACCTCTCCAACATATTTCTGAACCAGCTCTGATCCAATTACTCTGATGAAACAAGCATCAGTCCTGTTTGCGACAGCTCTAGCACACAGTGTCTTCCCTGTTCCAGGAGGACCGAACAAGAGAACGCCTTTTGGTGGTTCGATACCTAGATTAACAAACCGTTCAGGCTGATGAAAAAAAAAAAAAAAATGCATCAGTTAAATAGAGAAAAAACAGCCAAAAAAGGAAAGAAACCTGAGTTAGGGCTCCAAGCTCAAATTTATCCACAGACACCATTCAGCAGGCTACATGTACATACTAGATCAAAGAATGGTTGCCAGAAATAAAATCTTTGTCTCCAGAACATGGTGTAGTACAGTTCGAGCAAGGCTGCATGGTTTAGAGCTCGCAGCTGAACATACTTCAACATACATGTGTTGGTGACTGTTGCTAAAGATTTACAAACCGCAAAGTTTTCCCTATTGCAATGGTAACCGTCACACCTGAGAGAGCTATATGTATTAATATGCCAGCTCACATTGCTAGAAGTAGGTGTAAAGTATATCAATGCATGTGGACAAATAAATAACACCTCCTACAAGTACATACATACATACATTTATTGAAGCTCCCTTTACAGAGCTTTTGGGCCACAATATACTAAAATTACAAGATAAGACATAGGAATGAAATGTAATAACTAATGAAATTAACTACAAGGGAAATAAAGATAAATCAATTTTACGTTAAAAGCATATTTACAAGTCTCTTCTTAAAAGTACCAGAGTTCACTACTTTAACCTATTGACGTCCAGTGCTCCCATATGCGCCCATGGGGACCCACACCCTTTCTACGCCTTGTGACATCATCACTTTTAACCCTGGAGCA